TAACGACTTTGGTTGTCGGTCTGCCTAATTGTGGCAAGAGTACTTTGATAAACACACTCAAGACTTTTACCATGGGAGGCCGGGGTTCATCCGTCCGAGTCGGCCGAAACGCGGGCATGACCAGGAATTTAGGCCAACCAATTCTTATATGTCCTGGATCTACCTCTCGTCTTTACTCCGGATTTAAATCGTCCCAAGCTTTGGATTCAAATGATAGTGAAGCAAAAATCATGGCACTTGATTCCCCAGGCATTTTAGAGCCTAATGTGAGGACCTTGACGGAGCAACTCAGTCTGGGTGTGTGTGGCGCTATCAATATTGATAGTGTTAACAAAGGTTAGCTGAGTTAAATTGAACATTCATATCTGTTTAGCAATATAATGGTTGCAATTCATGTTTATGTTGTTTTTATGCCTAGCACATTTATACACTATAATGTTCACTCAATGTTTTGATTCGAATGGAAGGGAAAATGTCAGTGAGCATGCCTATTTATTAAAATTGACTTCAGTATACTGATTTCCATATTTAATATAGCATATATATGATATGATGATAATTAAAAATGTGTCTAATGTTATATGACATCTTAATTAACTGCCTTTACTTAGTCATTTGTTTGACCACATGTTGCCACTTTTAAGCCCATTTACAAATATGTTTTACTTGATGATTCTTAGGATTTCTGCTTTTGATGAAAATGCATATGCTCTTGTTCCTGTCGTATTCCATGGTGTCTTCATGACTCGTTCTCTCCCACCACACCCAGGTCATAAATAAAATTTAAGGAATTTTATCAAACATACGCTTAAGGCAATTATAATAATATAGGTTGTTGCTTTATGAATTTGTCTACGTAACTTTGAAAATTAGCTTAATCGAAATTATGAAAACGAGGATAGTGTGGCCCTTTGATGGTCGCGGTCTCCTTTCGTTTTATAGAAGTTGTTTGATCTTGGTTTCGCAACTTGGTAATATAAGCAGGAAGAGTTAGATGTGTTCCTCTAGGTC